CGCAGGCCGAGAATTAAAGATGCTAATCCGCTCTTTTCTCACATTTCCCATTAGAAACGTGCCAACTGTCGGATCAACGTCTCCGATTACCCCTCCATAATCAAAACAATTTCATTGACCATTCGTAGACGAAAGAATTATCTTTCTTATACATTCGAACTTGCAGCAGCATTGTACGATTTAATCGCACAAGTTTAGTCCAGACGAAAAAAGCTACAGTCGTTGACCCCTCACCTAAAAGCAGCCATCTAAAATCATCCCATTTAATTCCGATGTCTCTCAAAGGAGGATGCAAAAGAGGATCTCGAAAATATCTGTTCCACCGAGCGATGTCCAAGAACTGCTGCTCTCCGTGTTAACCAATTATTAAATTTCGATTTGTCAGCGCATCCGGAACGGGTCGCGTGTGCATGCTTCTTGCGGAGACAGGTTCAAAAAAAAAAAAGAAAAGAGCAACTTCCGAAACTAATCCATTAGCTTCACAATAGAAGTTCGGAGTAGAGGAAACGCCGGTAATCCCAACGGGTGCGGCGGCGTTACGCGGACGGCTGTTAAAACCGTCGTCGCCCGAGGGTATCTAGCGGGAAAAATAATTTGATAAAGCGTAAAGAAACGCGTTTGATCTCCGGCTAAAGGGTGCGCGGAAAACACGCGTAATTCCGTCGACCGCGTACAGATAGCGCCAGAGCTCGGTGAACTTGACGGCCGAGTTAATAAGATCCCAACTCCGCCCACGCTCCTACGATACGTCCCCCGTTTCGTGCTCGCGGGAACAACGCAACCGAAGTTTCCTCATATATCTTCGAAATAGTTCCTCGTAGAGTTCGGATGTCCTGGCTGCGGAACAGGTAAAACACACCGGATCCCGCAGAATCGGGCCCGCGGTGCTCCCGAGTATCCGATTCGTCGGTCGCGCGGGACTGAAACGAGTAGACCTTCGAAACGCGGCCGATGAATCTCGCGTGCTCGATATTTGCTGCACGATTATCGAGAGTAACGACGCGTATCGTACCCTCGAGCCTCGAGCCGCGCCGAGCCGAGCCGAGGGTACGGTCGCCGGTAAACCCGGACCCGACTGCAGCCCGCAACCGATCAGAGCTCGGAGCTCGCTCGACGGCTGATCTCGCGATCCTCCAAATGTATACAGGGTGTCCCAAAAATGTCTCGCAATCCGAATGTGGCGGGTTCATTAGGTTATTTGAAGCAACTTTTTCCTTTACAAAAATTTTCTCCGAGGCACCGTTAACGAGTTATTAACGAAAAGCAGTGACCAATAAGAATCGAGTACGGCTGACGCGAGGCGGCCCAGCCAACCAGCGCGCGAAGCCCAGTTCCGCTCATTGGCTCGGCCGCCTCGCGCCAGCTGCGCTGGGATTCGACCGCTGGCGCCGTTGGCTCGGCCATCTCGCGGCAGCTGATCTCGCCTCTCATTGGTCACTATTTTTCGTTAATAACTCGTTAACGGTGCCTCGGAGAAAATTTTTGTAAAGGAAGAAGTTGTTTCAAATGACCCGAGGAACCCGCCACTTTCGGATTGCGAGACATTTTTGGGACGAAATTTCTGCGAACCCGTCAACTATTTTAGTGCTAATCGCGGACACCCGTTTCGCGTCACGGAGAAGATTCTTCGAAATTCTCCGAGGAATTTCGAAAGAGGCAAAGCGTAAACGATCGCCGTTTGTTTAACCGCGTTACACGTTTTTACGGACTCACTTTGTCTGGAAGCCCTCGAACTCCTCCTGCTGCTCGCTGATCGAGGCTTCGAGGTCCAGGTAAGCGCCATAGTCGCCGTCCTTGTACAACTGCAGCGCTGTGTCGTCGAGCTGCAACAGAAACGCGATTCACCGTTTTCATTCACCTTGTTACGGACGAGGTTCTTTCGATAACACTGTAAAACTAATCGAAATCGAATCGTGTATCACGGTATACATCTATTAACACGAGACCCACCGAAGACTAAAAGTGATCGATGCTAGCCGATTCTTAGGAATGAAAAGATTTTTGCGTAAAGTCGTCGCTTTTATTAGGATGTAAGCAAGAATGAAGGAATTTCTTCAGTCGTTTCCTCTGAAAGAGATTTTACGATGTGGACAGTTTTGAAGTGAAAAAATGTGAGAATCGTTCAATATTGACGGTCACGGTGAGTTCAGCCTTAATCGAATGCAACCGGAGCGTGAACGAACTTTTCATTAAGTATCGACGATGCGTAAGGAGATTGGAAGGCATGCGCGGCCACGAAACTGTACTTTTACGAGCATGTTTCGATGAATGGATCGCTTTGATTTCGCGGAAGTTTGATTGGCGACAATTTGCCAGTGAACGGCGTTAAGCGGTGATTGCCGTGTATCGTGATGCGCGATAGCGAATTCTGAATAGATGCTTCAATTCATTGGACGGGCATTCAGCGGGAATTTATTTTGCAGGAGCGAATGACACAGGCATTCGCTACTTCTCCCTTAATCGGCGCTAATCTAGGTAGACGCGTCGCCGTGAAACGATCGTGTTGGAACGCGAGACGAGGCGAGGCGAGACGAGACGAGACGAGACGAGTTCCTTTATGTCGCGTAATCTCGAAACAGGAAGCCGCGCGAAGCTCGTGCAGTCGTCGCCTAATTTTAAACTCCTGCCACTTTGCGAAGTAGACGGATCTGCCACGGCGGATGCTGCGTCACGGGAACGGGAACGGGAAACTCTTCGCGCCGCGTTTATTGCCCGAGGATTTAAACGCTTCCTGATTTGTCCCTCTCGAGATCCTTCTACCCGTGTACATCTTTTATACATCGCCACGCAATTAGCCCCTATCCGAGCGTTTATTTTATAATCAATTATCCGAATCGTCGCGCGATTCGTCTCGACTCTCGTAACGTTTTTATACAATCAATTTCGAAGACTGACCAATTTCAATGAATACCTTTTTTACTGCCGCGTCAGGCGTATATGGGTGAAACAATCTTTTCTTGCTGTACTTGAAAATCAATTTTTATTAACACTTTGCACTCTCAGGCACCGCTAAAATTGTTATATCGCGTTCCAAGATAATTTTCGTATTAACAAAGTTTAGATTTTTAAAAATTGCTCTAAAAGTGTAACTGTAACTACGGATCACCACAAGACACGATATCATATGCATAAAATGCACTTTGTCGTATAAAATGGAAACACTATAAGTCGGAGAAATTATTTATGATTTATAGTTAAAATGGCTTCGAGTGCAAAGGGTTAGAATCTGTTAAGGGGGCTCTCTGTTAGTGTCCACGAGGTGTAAGAAAGCTACGAATATAATTACTGTAATAAATCTTGTCTTTACTATTTATACACTGTTAAATGAGTTGTACTAATTTTGCATGACTTTGAGTGACTCGATAATATTGACACTTAATAGACTCACGAATAAAACTGATTTAAATCAAACGACTTTTTTTTTTTCTTTTTTTTTTCTTTATGCATTGACATATTTTAAACTCGTGAACATGCTTTATTCAAGACGTATTATATCAGGTCTACCGGAAAGTTCTGTGTGTGTGTCCGTTTAACACGTTCCGTGCCGAGCTTTTTTTACTCGAATCTTCACACTTTGATATTTTACTAAAACTTGATGTATTACGTGCAATTATTAATTCTCGTACACGTAACAACGTAACAAAAACTTATCAACGCCCATTCTTGCGGTGGAAATTGATTCTTCGGTTCTAAATTTCTTGTAAACAATTTGTTCAGTTCACTAAGTAAACATGCAAGCGTGTACCATCGATGGTACACGTGGCACGGAACGTGTTAAGAAATGAAAGGAGATAATAGATCTTGCATAAATTTAGTCATATTTATTGTACAATATAATTTCCGTCGTTACTTATGACCTCTTGCCAGCGTGATGGCAATTCGTGAGCGTCTCACATGAACATGTGCATACCTATTGAAATTTGCAAAGACATTATCAGACAGAACTTTCCGGTAGACCTAATATATACGTATAGACCGTACGTATGTATACACAATTAATGGACACATACTCGACTTAATTAACATAGGTACATACTTCGTAATTTAAAAAAACGATTTACAAGTAAAATGAGCTACAAAAATATGCAAGAGTGTTCAGCACCGGATGAGAGGAACTTACAAAGATCGCGCAGATTATTAGCAAGTTTGTGCACTCGTCTTTAATCTCCTAATTTTAGAATAATGAGGATAAGAAAAGGGGGCGGAGGACTGTTCATTAAAATATTCCTGCTCCACCATTTCCACGTACACCATCTCATTGTTCAGATCCCAATTTTGAAGTCAACCGAGTCTTCCGTCCGATGACAGAGGAGAAAATGTAAACCTATATCTCGAGCAAGAATAATAGTCGCGTTTCAAGATACACCGGCGAAGCCGGTGATTAGGCGGGCGATGGCGCCGGCGACGCGTTATTAAAGTTATTTTTGCGGAGGTTGTTAGTCACATTATTTTGAAAGTAATTAAATTACATTCGCGAGTCATGGCCCAGAGCAGCGTTCTATTTTCGGCGGGCGAGTGACGCAACCGTAGGCTGAATATTGTATATCTAGCGCGAGAACGCGCGGACCAGCTGATTCCGAATCAAGAGATTATCATCTCGTGTACACACAGAGGAGCCGCGCGTATCCGGACCAAATGATTCGCAGATAAATTTAGCTGAATTAGACACATTACCCCGGATTGTTGACCCGTAAGACGCTATACGTACGTACATTGAACTCATTCTTCGGAAGCTCTTCAACGAGCAAAATGATTCAATCGGGCACGAATGAAATCCGATTCGAGATAGAGAGAAATATAATCGGATGAAGGCGTGCTATATAGATCGGCTCTCTTCAAATAGAATTCGATCCATCCGATACTTTGACTCCTTCTGTTCCGAATCATGTTATCGACGTTATCCCCTCGTTAATTCCCGCAGTATGCGAATTTAAGTGCGCATCCTTTAGAGCTCAGAGCCAATTTCAATTTTAGATACAATATTACATACATATTCGCGTGCTGTTGTTTATTCTTCGTAACGAAGGAGATCGCAGAAAATTTAATCGCACGTCGGAGAAAATTTAATATCTATTTATAGTATTATATATATATATATATATAATTTTAACTTTAAAAAATGTCTCTGATATATTTCAACCTATCAAAAGATTTATGTAACTTGAAACCAAGAGATATCAATCTTTGCATATAAATAAATAAATATATAATAAATAATACTATAAATATAATAATACTATACATAAATATAGATAATATACATAGTATACTATACTATAAATAATAATATATAATAATATAACTAATAATATAATAATAATAACAATAATATAATAATATGTAATAATAAATATAATAATACTACTATACTATAATATATATATTATAGTATTATTTATAGTACTATTATATATTTATAGTATTATTATATATATAGTATTATTTATTATACATTTATTTATTTATATATGCAAAGATTGATATCTCTTGGTTTCAAGTTACATAAATCTTTTGATAGGTTGAAATATATCAGAGACATTTTTTAAAGTTAAAATTATATATATATATATATATAATACTATAAATAGATATTAAATTTTCTCCGACGTGCGATTAAATTTTCTGCGATCTCCTTCGTTACGAAGAATAAACAACAGCACGCGAATATGTATGTAATATTGTATCTAAAATTGAAATTGGCTCTGAGCTCTAAAGGATGCGCACTTAAATTCGCATACTGCGGGAATTAACGAGGGGATAACGTCGATAACATGATTCGGAACAGAAGGAGTCAAAGTATCGGATGGATCGAATTCTATTTGAAGAGAGCCGATCTATATAGCACGCCTTCATCCGATTATATTTCTCTCTATCTCGAATCGGATTTCATTCGTGNTGATAGGTTGAAATATATCAGAGACATTTTTTTAAGTTAAAATTACGCTTGCTGTAATTGTACATTGACCTCTTGCCGTACCATTTTCTTCATAGTTACAACCATTAGAAGTTTTTCGATTCTACTAACTTCTAAGAAGAAAAGAGATAATTCATATTTATCGTGCGTCTACATTTACCTAAATGTTTAAATACCGATGACAAAAGATCAGAATTTTATTCAGACTAAAGAGAACGGAATAGCATTCGTATTTAACAGGTTATTACTAGAAATTGCCATCACGTGTCACGACTCGTCGAAGTATGGCAAGGGGTTAAAGCGTAAACAATTTCTATCTTGAGATTGTGAAACAGATCTTAGAAACAGCTCGCACGAGTTCAATTTTCATCCTTCCTTAGTCAATTTAATTTTGCACGAACTTATCTGTTAATAGGTAATGCGTGTACGTAAACACGCGTACTGTGTAACATAAAAAAGAAAACAAACAGTTTTGCGCTCGCGTTAGAAGCAGAGATAAAGAAGAAGCTAATGCCGGATAATCCGTAATCAAGTTATCGAAAGAGAAAAGTAATAGAGCGAAGCCATTCAGGAAGCCGTGTGCGAGGTCTCGATGCCGATTTAAAAATAGTCCAGCATCCCAGGCCGCCATATTTACAATCCTATTACCAGCTACTTCCCTCTCGCTTCTAGAAACAATCGTGCGCGTACCACCAAAATAAACCAACAAAATACCGTCGTTCGCAATCGTTCAGGTCCAGAAGTACCCCACGGTGAAAAACGTTCGCAGCTTTGCCGATATTTGTTTTATGTAGAAAACGATTATCTAAAACTTCGTGTCGTTGAAAGCAACAAATTTACTTCCCTTAAATAACAGAACGAAGCGACTGGGAAATCCGTCGTCTTTCGCTGCTTTATTTTTGATAATGT